GAAGACAAGGCTTCAGGGAAAGTAAAAACAGCCTAGGTTACAAAGAGAGCAGAGCCAGGCTCTTTACAGAGGGAAGAGAACGAGACACTATGACCATAAAGTGAACGTGGGGGAGTTTCAGCTATGTGTAAGGAAAAAGAAATTGCTATGAGGACATTCAGACATTGGATCAGGATGGCCAAGGATGTTATGAAATCTCTTTCCTTGGAGGTTTTTAAGATCTGATTGGATGAAGCCTGGAACAACCTTACCTGAATTCAATTTCAACCTTGTTTTGAGCAGAAACTTGGACTGGATGGCATCCCAAAGTCTCCCTTTGGGAGGAATGTAATTTGGTTGATTCTGCCTGGAGAGGGATTTAGGAATCCTGATGGATAACTAGTTCAACATGTGCTCTACTGTAAGGCTACAAGGAAAAGCAATGGCTGGATGTTATTTGGTCACTGCTGTCTAGAGCCCCACATGCTACCTGACACCTTTGCAGAGTGGAATTCCCGAAATAGAAGCAGCCAGTTGCAAGTGACCATCACTTCCTCGGGTACAGCCTGTGGAGGCTTGCACTGCTGCCTGATGGAGCTCTGCAGTGCCTCCTGAGCTGCTGCTTTGCTATGTAAGTGGAGTGAAGGACAGCTAGGACCTGGATTTTATCCTGTGCATGCCATGCAGCATTTCAAAGGGATGTTTCTATCACCCAAATCTACAGTAACCTCTTGCAGAGAAAAAGGCATTGTGCTACTGGGGTGAGAGGGAGTACTTAGGAGCTTCTTTACCAAAATTCAGTAACTGGAGGTTTTAAGTTAGACAACGTGAAATTCTAAATAAAAATAAAGTCTAAAAATGCCACAGCTTCTCCAGAGTGAAGATGAATTCTCCCTTGCTGTTATTCAAAAGTACTGGCCGTGCTTTACTGCAGAGCAAGTGGCCAGTGCTGGTTCAGGACTCAGGGAGCCAGGATTTGCAGCAGGCATTCACTTTAAGCACTTTTCCTTTCCTGCCTGACTTGGAGTTGTTCTGGAGTATTTCTGAACAGTAGAAACCTTTAAGACAATTCCACAGAAAAGCCTTTTTGCAGTAGCTGAGGGAATAATGTACATCATTTACCACCACAAATGTAGTCAGAGGTTACATGAACAGCATCAGCACAGGTGTGCTGGAGCAGCAGGACCCTGACCTGATATTGGTAACTAGAAAGGCAAGCAGCCAAGAGATAAACCCATTTGACCACAGATAAAAACCCTTCTGATGTGTTTTGCTAGACTTGCTTGTTAGCTGAGATCCATAAATATGAATTACCTAGATTCACGTGTTGTAGAGATGCTATTGTGATAAAGCCCATGGCCTCAGATACATTAAAATACCTTGTTTTGAAATAGAAATCACAGTTGTATTTTTTTCTGTTATGTGAAATCCCCAACACTTATGTAATTTGAAGAGGATTTTTTTAAAGCTTATCTGAAGTGATGCAACTATTGACTCATTGCTGGTTTGAGTTTTGACACCAGAGAACTGTGTTAGCCAGACCAGCAACCTGCTAGACTATGAATTCTTTGTTTCTTCAGTAACAATCTGAAGAAATGGAATTATAAGATCATCTTTTAATTTAATAATGTCTTACATTCTAATTTTGTACTTCACTGGCTTAATATTCCTAGGTAAAAAAAATTTATGGGATTTTTTTTTCCTCTGAGAAGACAATGTACTTCCCTTTAGCAGTTTTAGACACAAAAATACACATTGATAAGTAGTCTCTAATCAGATGGTGTAGCAATTCTTTGACCATTTTAGAAAAAGCAGACAGACATACATATTGCTATGTTGAAAAAGTTAGAACATGAGTGGTAAAATTATCATATCACAGTTAACTGATTCCCAAATCAGCTAAATTCGTGACAAAAGTATTGAAGAGTATATGTTAGACAAATAAAAGTGTTTCCTGGCTGTTATGGAAAACCAACGGCTAGAAAGAAAGAGGAGGAAATAAATGCATTCCTTGCAATATGCAATTATATCCTGCTCTGTTGCATGTGGATATATAAGGTGTGCTGGGTGCACACACACTGCAGAATAAACAGGCCATTACACACTAACACATCACCAAGCCAGGAGGAGTAACCTGTGGGTTTGTACTTCTTCTGTGTACCTTGGTCACGAATTTATCTTTGGCTGCACCCATGTGGAACAGTTTGCTGGCTCAATAACCTCTTGGGTGCGTAGCCACTCCTCAGCTACTGATTTTTCCATACCTTTACTTATTTAGCAGCAGGAAAAGGACAACAGGCAGCCAGGCACAGTGGCATCCAAGGGCAGCATCTATGGGTGCATGGACAGAGCCAAGGGCAGAGAGCTGGAAAATGTAAGATAGATGAGTTGAGCAGTGACACCATTGAGAACATGATGGTCACACACTTGATGGGAGGTGGCAATATCATTTTTATCACACGTGATACTTTCACTCTACTATTAATCACTTAGAAAAATTAATTACAAGTGTTCTTTACTCTAGGCAGACAGTTCCATTTTGGTAGCAGGGAACAGGGTGTGCCACAGTTTTCTCCCTGTCATGCTGAGCCTACTGTCCTTTCGTGTTTTCTCTGTGGAGGATTTTGGTGACAATATCCAGTTGCCTCACACCTTGCAGATGATTGCTCTGCCCTTATCCTTCAGTGGAGTGGTAAGAGTTTTTCAGATTCCTGTTACACATTGCCCACTGGCCATCTGCTATTACCACCTTAACGAGAAATCACTTGATGAAAGGTGATTGAGTGGTTACCATCCTGTACAAGGTTACAAGCTCATTATACTACTTCCCCCTCCAATATTGAGCAATAGTGATAAGCCAAGAGTCTTAGCTGATACAAACCAGTGCATTTCTGCTATTTCAATAGTGCTGCCTTTGTTTACATGACATTTAGCTTAAAAGCATTTACTGTTAGGTTAATTTAGATCCCAGCCTTTGGTTAAAGTGGGTTTCTGGGTGCCACTATTTTAAAATAGAAACTTGGGATAATCAAGGAATATTCTATACTTTATTATTCTTTTAGTAATCGTGGATGGGATGCTTTAAAGATGAATCAACTGTGGTGTTTCGGTAGCACTTGTGAGAAGTTGGTTTCTGTTTCCCCTCAGAGGACTGAGGTTTCCTGTAAAGCTACTCTGGCTCTGGATTTATGTACCATTTGCAGAGGAAGATCTATCCACTTAAAGCTTCCACATTGGTTTTGCCGAGCCAGTTTTATATATCAAGCTGTTTAAAAAATAATAATAATAAAAAGGTAAGCAAAAACAGGGAAAAGTAAGCTTCAAAAAAAATGAGTCCAGAGGAAGTTCACAGTTCCTTAAACAGTTTTTGTTCTAAAAGCAAACGTCTACATTTCTCTTTCTGCATCAGGTCCCTGCTCTGATATGTTCCCACTAAACTAGAAGCATTCTATGCAGCCTGTTAGGGTTGTGGATTTCAAGACAATCTCCCAAATAAAAATCAGAGAACTGAACCGATTGAGGTAAGCTGTTAGAACACAAGAAAAAGCCAGAGCTGCCTCTTGTCACAGAGACATTTAGCAGGAGTACAAAACTGCTGTGAAAAAAACCCTGGCAGTGTGATTCAGAACATACCACTAGGGGGGAACGATAGCGTTGCTGTACTTAAGTTTGGAAAAAATGTTCTGAAAGATTGTGTTGCTAGCACATACTCTATTTTAGTTCTGGGACTCATCCTCTAATGTCATATATATTCTGAGTGGTAAAGGAGCCACCTGATGTCCAGCTTCATTTCAGGGAAAGGGAGGGCATAGGTATGATGGGCACTGGAAGACAAGTTTGGATGTACTCGGATTACTGGGAGATAGTTCAGAGGAGAGACACCTTGAAAGGTCAATGTCAGGAATGCAGCATGCTAATGATGCTAATGATATAAACAACACCCAAGATAGATCTCGATTTGGTGAAGCACTTATGTACACGTTGTACTTGAAGCACCTGAGCTGCTGTATTCATTTCAGCCAGGTGACCTGTGTACCTCACCAGACAGGAGCTCCAGGCATTGCACTATCACAGAACTGGTGTTTCTTGGCATTTATCCACGCTCTTTGAATGCAAAGATTAGTGCATCTTCCTGTTATAAAACTGCCTTCTGCTGGTGATCATTCTCCTGATTCCAGCCGACTCTGATTTATAGCATAAGAAAAGCTTTCCCAAAGGATTCAGTAGCTCTTTTTCCCCAAAACACACACATCATCTACATGTATTTGTGTGTATCTCATCCTAAGAAATAAACAAATCACTTCTGGGCCCCTATTCTGTCATATCCAGAAGAAAAATATTGCCTGAGAAAACAGTATTAAGTTTCCCCCCCTTTTTTTTTCCTTTTGCATAATAGGACATAATTCATTATTTGGTTTACAATCATTGACAAGAGTTCAGAAAAATGCAAATCTTACTGTTTTGATACCTTACACTGATTGTAACTTATCATGTCATAGGCCCTTTTAGCACCAGAGACATCATTCTGGTATAGTAATCCCTTCAGAGAATTCTTTCTAACAAATATAGAAGACTGTCATCATGATGAGAAAAAGCCTTTCCCCTAAAAGTGTTTGTCATCCAAGAATAAATACCAATGAAAATAATGGCTTTTTGAGACTTTAGAGATAATAATCCATTTATCAGGAAGATACTGCTATAAGCATTATACATAAGCCACTCACCCTTTCCAGTGTCTTACAGTCATCTGAATATCAATTTAAAAAAAAAAGCGAGAAGAAGAAGATGAAGTTATAATGCTGTATCAACAGGCAGCTGTCCTAGTGGGCACTGGGAGCACGGAATGGCTCGCATTGCTGAGCAGTGCAGTCATTGCCAAAGGAATGGTGAGCTCACATTTCATTCTGATTCCCATGGTGGTGTGGTCATGGTGTGGGGCTCTCCCCCTTGCTCGCCCAGCTGACGCCCCTGTGCTGCCTGGACACCAGATCTGGCTCGTTAACGTGTCTGGAATGAGCCTGAGCCACCTCTCAGCTGCCAGGCGCAAGGGGCATACTTGGATTCCCAGGTTGGAAGATTATCTCATTCAAGCACAGTTCTCCCAAAGATATATAAGTGCAGTGAGCGTGGTGGTCCCTGCAGAGCTGGCCTGAGCCCTGGGAGGTTTCAGCCACACAGGAGCACAGCCTTCGATCACAGCAAACATGACGATGATGATGAAAGTAGAAGAGCTGGTAGGTGCAACCTTCTTTCATTTACGCACATTTAATTATTTTCTAGACTGTCATCAGACCAGACAGAAAAAGAGGACCTTTGTGGATCACTGATTTAGCAGGTTACCAGCACTGCTGTGCTCTAGGTGCTAACCCTTATATATTGTTTATTATATTATTATATTTTCATTTTCCTTGGGAAAGGGTCTCACCACAGACACAGCTACATAGCTGTTTGGATTTGACATCACAGCACAGTTCACTAGGAAATGATCAACCAAAATTTAGCTATTTATTTGACTTTGTCCTTGATTTTAATTTATATATATTTTTAGAAGCCAGTAATCTAATAACCACACTAAGTAATTCCAATCTAATAAGGGACTGGGACAACATATTAATGCAGAGAAACTACAGTACTTTATAATACTGAATTAACAGCTTAATAATAGTATTGTTTTCTAATAATAAATTAACAGTTCCTACAGCTACTGCTGTTGATGATGTAAAAGAGTCTTTGAAAAATTAGGTCTAGATCACAAGTAATGGGACATTCCACTGCAGGATTCAGACTGAGAATGTCTGATCTGATTGAGAAACTGGGGAAACAGGAAAGATTCAGTAAAACACTGCATTTATTTTCTCAGATGGCTTTGTTAAGATACAACTGCCTAACTATTTGAGGCTGTCTTAAATTCTCTGGCAAGGTTCTCACAGTTTCTTCTGCATTAGACTATAACAAATACAATTTTACAAGGTAATCAAACAGAAAGGCAGTCTAGGCCACATGAACCACTCTAAAAACACACATCTGCCTCTACTAAGCTTAACAAGTTTTCTCTTTGGAAATACTTGATTGGGCATCAAGTATTTCTGAAAACTATTGAAAGCTGTGCTGCTGTATAGCACCACATAGTTTCTGCCATTCTGCTATAAATGGGACTTTGGTACTGACAGCAATGGATAAAACCAGCCTTGAAATCACTCAGCATCCCAGTTTAACTGCATGGGAGATGTGCCCCAGCCAGGTGCATCCCCAGCTAATCCAGGCACAGGCAGAATGGCCTGTCCCAGCTGTCTCCCAGAGAGGACAGGAATGAGGTACAATCAGCCCTAGGCAATCCATGATCTCAGGTGGTGGCTACTGCAGTCAAGAATCCACTGATTATATCATGTTTGCATTTTCAGGTGACTGGGAAGAAGGTGGAAGATAAAGAGACCGGCAGCTTCCTCCCTGAGGACTTCAAAAATGGAGAGTATGAAGCTGCTGTAAGATTAGAGAAGCAGGAGGACCTAAAGACAGTCCCTGAGCACTCATTGACCCGAGGTGATGTGGCTTATGAGAATGAGAAAAGACTAGAAGCAGAGGTAGGTGCTTGGGTTTTCTGCTTGGATTTTTATCATCATGTATGCATTTCCTGCTGCAGCCCTTGAAGTTGTGCCTGTCAGAAATACATGCAGGGTGAGCTAAAAAAACTCTTGGGAGACCACCAGGAAAGGAGGGTGGTCTAAAGTCCACTGAAGACCATGGAGATCTGCTCACCTCTGTAGCCTGTGGGTGCAGGCAGTGACTTCGAGGCAGAACCCAAAACACCCCCTGTACTGCCTGACTGAAAGCCTGAGTGCTCCTGCTGGCCAGGGTCCCCTGCTGCTGGTTGTCACTGAACGGGGAGCAGTCAGAGCCAGTGAGACACCTTCAGCTTGCACACCTAATGACTGCTACCAAAATAACTCACAAAAGATGTGAGAGTGTATTTCTGAAGCCAGAAGCCTTAATTAACATGAAAATGTTCTTTTTATGAAAACACAGCATTACACTTACTAGCACATTTGGGAAGAACACTTGCAAATGAAACTCCTACTGGTCTACAGAAAAGTACTGATTTCTATTCCTGGAGCATGACAATTCTTCCTAGATCCCTAAGAAATGGTGCTTTCCCCCCAAAAAAACACAGTAGCTACAATATCTTTAATTTCTTTTTGTGAATAAGGTATCAAGTGGCTTAAAAATTTAAAGTGATTTGGAAATTATAAAGTTTAGCAGGGGGAATAAGACTTTGTTCTAAAATATGAAGAATGAGAAAGTCAGTCTCAGAAACATTAGAATGAAAACTGCTCCTTAAACTTTAACAGAGACATCATTACTGGCTACAGAGGTTTTTTAAAGCTCCTTTAAGGCAAGTTCCAAAGAACTTTATGGGTTTCCAGCTATCCACAGTCACTATAATTATTCTCCATTAGGTTGATGATCTGCACATCAAACCATAAATGCAAAGAACAATAAAAAGAAGAGGTGGAAATAACTTGAATAAGAATTTAGTTGACAAAACCGTATATGACATACACATATGACAGGGTGTCACCAGTGTATTCACCCTTAATCACACCATGGGACAGAATCTGTCATCTGTATTCACCCTGAGTTAGCCCTTGTTTGTGAATCTCCCAGCTGAAGTCAAGGACACCTCACGGGATCTCAGTTCAGGCAACACACTCGCCCTTGGTGTCAGCAGTGCCCCACACTGACTTCATGCCCAGATGCTTTTTACAAGCAGGTTTGGAGAAGTCTTAAACATATATTGAACTGTCCCATCAAGGACACAGGCCAATCTTTATGGTTTCTCAAAATGTAGTAACACTTGCAGACTGAAATGCTAAGATCATTCTAAACCTTGTTCTTCTCTTGAGGGTATGTTTTTAAGCAAAGTGAATTAAGTTCCAATAATTAAAGGGCTGCATCATTAAAAAAAAAGGTGATTAAAGAAAATCACTTGGTGGAAGTCAGTTGAAACTACAGGAGCTTTCCAGCTCTCATAAGCTGCACATGAGATTTTTAAAATTATTGTGCCAGAAAAGACTGTAGTGCTGCTCTGACTCCTGGTCTAAATTCATGGCACAACATATGGCTCAAGAAGAAGTTAGGAAGAGGCATATGAATGGTATACGAAAACATATAATAGTATATGAAAAACTGTAGATGAGGTAGAATTTCTCGCATAGTAAGCAACTTATTGTAATGGTCAGTTGGCCCTATCTGCAAAAAAAAAAAAAATTAAAACAATTTATTTCAAAATTCATCCAGTCTTAATTGAATTCAGTCCTGCCACTTTGAAAGGGAGAGGTGCTCACACAGCTCAACTTGCTGCCTTCCCTCATTTGTTTCAGCTGAAGAAGAAGAAATTACAGGCCAGGTCAAAACTTGAAAACTTGGAGGATCTTGAAAAAATTATTGAGCTGAAGAAGAAGAAAAGATGCAAGAAAGTGAAAGTGCCTGTTTTAAAGAAACCTGAACCAGAAGTTATTGTAAGTTACTTCAAAGTACCTTATTCTGGGAAAGCATTAATGGGGATTTGTGCCACATACATTTATGTTCTCTATATTCTTTCCTTCAGACAGGACCTGTGGATATTCCCACATTCTTCAAAGCTGCATTGGAGAATAAGTTGCCAGTAATTGAAAAATACCTGGCAGACAAAGGGGATCCAAACGTCTGTGATAAGGTACAGTCTTCTTCCTAATGCAAAGTCTGCTATGGAAGAGAGCTAAAACAACTTTTATCATGACGTTTTGTATATTCCACCCTCATGAGAGGAAAAAAAGGGGTGGGGGAAAGTAAATAAATGCTGGAAGTTTTGTACATCAAGTTTTCTAGTGGCCACTGAGACCCTTCAAAATCATATTACCTCAAAAGAGTCTTTTATATTTAAAAGATGCTGTTGGTGCCCAGGAGAACCTGATTTTCCATAAAAGGTGATCTTCCAATGCTATGGAAAAAAAGAGAAGAAACTTTTCTGCAGAACAACAGAAATAAATGACTGCCCTTACACTCCATCATGCATAAGCTGCAGTTTCAAAACACAGTGTAGCATGTTGGATGGGGAACTTAACAGGCATAATTTTAAATCTGGATGCCATACTGCAGATACTTCTCTCACCATTTAAATTGCTGGGTTGGCAGCTCACAGCTATCAGGTTGCTATTAAAATTTAGCAGATTTCAGGTCTCAAAACTATAAGGTCTTTAAAAGGAATCAGCATGGACTATGTGTATTTGCCATCATCCTAGGGGGAGGTGAAGAGATTTAAAGATATCTTTGTGCCATATGTAATGTCTAACTTTGCCCTGTTTCAATTGCCAGTACAAACGCACTGCACTGCACAGGGCATGCTCTGAAGGACATCTAGAGGTGGTGAAAAAGTTGGTGGAAGCTGGAGCCCAGCTTGAACAGAAAGACATGGTATGCACATCCACTCACACCTCTTTCCAAAGGCTGCTCATTGTTTTATACGTGCCAAGAGAACCATTTATAGAAGTGCTTCTTGCAGAGGAGGAGCACTAAAAGGCCTCACAATGTCTTTGAAGTTTATCCTTAAAATAACATTGTTGAGAAGAGGTTTTAGGAAGGAGTGGCTGCCTCCCTGTGCCCAAATGGTTGCTGGAAAACACAGGCAGTGCTGTGCCACAAACAAGGCAAGCCTTGGGCAGGCTAAGATAGCTGAGCTCGGGCTCTCACCTGAGCCAGGTGCTGGGACAGCGCAGGTACCCAGGCTCAGCACCAGGATTTCCAGGCTGTGCTCGGGAGAGCCCCCTGCTCCTCTGGAATGCTGGCCACAAGGGTTCCCGAGTATCCACAGCTGCTGCAGCTGTTTCTTGGCTTCTCTGCCCTTTTCCCTTGGCTGAACAGGTGGCATTGGCCAGCCTTGCTCCCTTGCTTAACCCAGCAATGCTTCCAGAGGGTGAGGAAGAGGAGGGACAGCCAAAGTGGGACCCTCCAGGGACCCTTTCCAGCACAGCTCAGGATACAGATGCTGAATCTTGTAGAGGAAAGGGGTTTTAATTCACTTTATGGACTTGCATAACTTGGGGATTTGTTGTTTTTTAAACACCAAATTTTTAAAGAGAACTATTCTTTCCCTTGAGCTTCATTTTCTATATATTTTAGAACCCAAGAGGCATTGAATAAAAAATATTAACTAGCACATTCCAGCCACATACCTGGCTAAAGGTAATGTCTAAGCTAAAGAATAGACAAAACACATCCTCGCTCACAGCAGGGTTGCCAAGATGTCTGTCTTTAAGAGCAATATGCAATGAATGTGAAGAGTGAGAAATTCACAGTACTGCAGAAATTAGGGTAAAATCAGAAAAGCTGTTACTAGAAACATTTTTTTTTTTACTAGAAGCAATTCTTCTTACTAGAAACTGTGATCACTGTGTGATCACAGTGAAGTGCTCTAAGTTAAATCACGTAAAATAAATTTGGGTTAATTTAGAAAATTGATAAAAATAGCGTTTTTAAAATATAACGTTGTATTAAAATACTTTTAATTTCTTTTTCCTATTAAAGCTTCATTCTACAGCTCTGCACTGGGCATGCCGGGGTGGGAATCTGGATGTTCTGAAATTCCTGCTGGACAAAGGGATAAACATAAATGCAAGAGACAAGGTACGTACTTGTGGAACTCTGCAGCTTTTTAAACGGGAGACGAAAGCTGACCCTTGCTGGCAGTAGATAATCTCTGGCAGCTGTTTTTGGAGCAGCTTTTCCCTGTTCCATGCTCTGACCGTGTCCTCCGTGCCCCTCAGCTGCTGAGCACGCCGCTGCACGTGGCGGTGCGCACAGGTCGCTATGACTGCGGGGAGCAGCTCATCGCCTGCGAGGCGGACCTCAACGCCAGGGACAGGGTAAGGACCGAGCCCTCCAGACCTGCCCTCTGCCCCCGGAGCGGCCCCGAGCGGCTGGGGACGGCAGGGCTGACGCTGTGCCCCGTGTCCCCCCCAGGAAGGAGACACGCCGATGCACGACGCCGTGAGGCTGAACCGCTACAAAATCATCAGGCTGCTGATTCTGCACGGGGCAGACCTGACTCTGAAGAACTGCGTAAGTAATAGCACGAAATAGAAGTAACTTTAAAATGCTTTACAAGAAGTTTCCCACCGGAGCAGTTCCATAGGTTTCAACCGAAAGAGACTATTTTGAACAGACTTAATTAGATCATCGCAGAGCTGAGACAGGGAAACAGTAACAGGGAGGTCAGAGAAAACCCAGTACCTCTTGTAAAACCAGAACCCGCTATCTGCTACTACCGATCTGCTACTACAACATCACACCTTTCTACGATTTTATTACTCATATTATGAAACTATGTAATAGACAGACATGCTGCACTACTCCTGGGCTTCAACCACCACTGAGACAACAAAGTTCTTAGCTTGTAAGAGAAATCTCCTTTTTGTTAAGCCCACAGATGGTGGGCAGCCCCAGCACTACACCTGGCAGGTAACTTTACTGCTGGGCAACAAATCCCTGTGGCTGAGCAGAGAGCAGTCCCACACCTGGCTGTGCTCAGAGCCACTGCAGCAGCAGCGTTGCTCCAGCCCTGTGATCACTTGTTAAAATATAGTACTTGACAGGCTTTTTCTCCCAAATCCAAACCTAGCAGTAGAAGCATTGCCAGTCCATGTTTTTGACTGACAATCAGCCAAAACCCCAGAGGACAAGGAAGAAAAGTCACTGGAGCACTCTGTTCTCCCCACTCTCTGCCCGCCTCCCTGAAGTGTGGCTGCTCCCAACACTATTCCTCAGGTATCAGAGTATGACAATTATGGAAGGTACAGCCCCAAAGGCCAGACTTGCTCCCTCAGACTTCGTCTGCGCATGGAAGTTGGTCCTACTTAATTCTTGTGGTTCATAGCCTAATTAAACTCTTACCTGAATTCTGCATTAAATGGAAGAGTATCTTTTTTATAAGATTGCACCTAAATATATTTCTGATCACTTGAAACCAAAACGTGCAGGTTCAGCATGTTCTGCTGCTCACAGCATTTGCCTAAACCCACTGAAACCCAGGGAATTTCCATCATGGGTCTGACCAGGACTGGGACTAGATCTGTAAAGCAAAAGTACTCTGACCTCAGGGGTACAAGAATAAGTCTAAGCCTGTGTGTGCAGAAGGGATTCACATCATGCAGATGCACTGACCAAGTATTTAAGAAAGAAAAAGGACTTGGCCATCACTGGATGAAATTAAATATTCCTCCATTTCTTTTTACCAGGAAGGGAAAACCCCTATGGATCTTGTTCTTCAGTGGCAGAATGGCACCAAAGAGATATTTAACAGCCTGAAAGACAATTCCAAAAAGAGTGCCCGTCGAGGTAAATTCTGAAGAGAGAAACCAGACCACGCTCTTTTTGCTGCTTTGAAACGCTTCCCACAAACCTGGATGAAAATGTCCTCGAACATCTATTGAAAATATTTATGGCACTGGATTATTTGAGGTGCTTTCACTGAAAAACTGCAAGAAGCCTGCAAAGTCCACTAGCTCTAAAATGGCTTTATTTATTATTTATTTATTATTTATTTATTTAAAAGTAATTTTTAATTATGCTCATTATTTAATCTTCATTTTTATAGATGCAATTGATCTAAATGCAATTTTTGCCAGCAACGTAAATCCTTGTCTTAAATGGCAGCATTTTCAGCTATATTAGCAACTTTCCTCAAGCCTTCCAATAGCTCTAAATAGCAAATACTTGCAACTGTGCCGTGTCTCACTACTAAAATAACCTGTGAATTGAGTGGCAGTATGTGGAAGAGCAATGGAAGAAGGTATACTGAGGTGCCAAATGGATTTAATGAAGTAGTTGAGTAATGGTGTTTACTCAGGGTTTGGCAATTGTGGATAATGAGCCTGAGGACAGAGCTCAAACGACCATGTACCCTTTTGGACTGAAGGATTCAGATATAATGTTGTGAGGGTGTGAGGAGACTGTATTAGGGAAGTGAATATTTTTTAAACTAGACTACTATGAAGTATGATGGTAGAAGAATGGAAAATCAGATTATGTATATTTGTAAATTTGTACTGCTTTTTCTGTACATTTTGAACTGATCCATTTCAGATTAAATTAACAGAGTGGCTCTTTTTACTTGCTGGAGTGGTGAGCGTGCATGGGGTAATTTTGTCTCTCTTTAAGGAAGTTCACATTGTGTCTACTGTAAAATTCTTGAAAATTTTAAAAAAGTCTCAGCTGCCAAGAGCAGCCATCCCCTGAGCTACCTCCCTGACACTGTCAGATAAATCCATCTCACTTATTTTGTTAAATGGAGCTGTATATGAAAGCAAACTGTATTTTGAGTAGCTAGTAAAACCAAGTTAGTTCCATTACTGACCTTGATTTAAAAAATACAATTTCTTAGTTAGTCACTACTACGTGGAGCACAAGACAGCTGCAGTTATCCAAGCCAAGAGAGACGCCAAGTCCTGTTAGGAAAGGCAGACACTTTTCCCTTTGCAGGGACAACCTTCAGTGCTGCCAGCCAGGGCATGATGTCCCGTTTCACAGAATCACAGAACAGTTTGGGCTGGAAGAGGCTTTTAAAGCTCATCTATTCCAGCCCCTCTGCAGTGAGCAGGGACATTTTCAACACGAGCAGGTTGCTCAGAGCCCTGTATCACTTGGCCTTGAATGTTTCCAGGGATAGGACATCTACCACCTCTCTGGGCAACCTGTGCTAGTGTTTCACCACCCTCATTGTAAGAGACTTTTTTCTTGTATCCAAACTAAATCCACCCGTTTTTAATTTAAACCCATTACCTCCGGTCCTATCACAATAGGCTGTGATGACAATTCTGGAGAAATCTTTCTTATACGTCCCTTTAAATACTGAAAGTTCCCAATAAGGTGGCACTAGCACCTTCTATTCTCCAGGCTGAACAACCTCAGCTCTCTCAGCACTTCCACACAAAAGTGTTCCCTCCTTCTTACCAGCTTTGTGGCTCTTTCTGGACACACTCCAACAGCTCCATATTCTTCATGCACTGAGGACCCCAGAGCTGGATACAACACTCCAGGTGGGAGAGAGCAGAGCAGAGGGATATTTAGATGCTGCATTCAGGTAAATTCCTAATTATCCATTGGGTGGCCTGATAGACAAATATGCCAGAGGCTCTCACACTCCTTCACCAATCCATGTCAGCCAGCTTTATAGTCTGGCCAAAGCAATGTCCTGGGGAATATCCTGAGGTAGAATCAGAAGTGGGCAGCAATGAACAGTTGCTCCTGTTGAAGTGAATTTACACAAAACCCAGAGAAGCAAGCAGAAGAACCTCCTATTCTGTCTGCAGGCAGGTTTTTTAGAGAGGCCAACAGCTTCAGACAGACGAGAATTTTCTCACACAAGCACTGTAACTCATGAATGCCACCTTGCCAGCCACAGGCCTAATTTGTGCACACATCCTTCTCCTCAGAAGTTATGGCATACCTTGCAGCACTTGCTGCCCTTCACTGCAAGCCATGACTTCCCTGCTTGTTTCTGCCCAATCACCCGGACAGAGGAGCAAGGAAAGAGCAATGACATCAGTGCTGGCTAACTCAGTCTGTTTATCACCTAACCCAGCAGCAGCTCAATCGTTCAGGCACCCAAGTGGCCACAGCAATGTGCTTCAGGAAACTGGGGGAGAAGAACATTTTCAATCGGCTCCTGAAGCATTGTATCTAATAAAGGGCAAAGATGTAGAGTTTAATTTTTTAAAGTCAAACAAGTAGCAAGAACGATCTCAAGCATTCAAAGACTCCTTCCATATGTTAGCTACCAAGAACTTCTGTCATGCTCAAGGTAGGTTATTCTCTGGCCATGGCAGGATTGACATGTCATTCAGAAAACTGCACCAAACACATATTGCTTCTTCTCTGGTGACAGCATCATTTTAGAGCTAAGTCCATAAATTACAAACTACTTTATGCATATATATATACATATATACACACACACACGTATAAAAAACTCCCCAATACCTATAATAAAATGGACTCAATTAACAAAGTCAAGAAGTAGTAACATACAGGAAACATATTTGTTGAATGAAGCAAAAGCTATGAGAACTTCATCAATATTGCTCAGTCTAATTACCAAGAGCTCAGAAATGACCCACTGCTGGATTGCTGCAGTATATTTTAAATGTTACAACTTCCACTTTTCAACTTGCAGTAGACACCAGAACACTCACAGGAAAAAGGGCTCAACAGTGTCTCAGTACAGTGGCTTACATGATTTTTATATTAATTTAATGAAAAGAAAAACTTCAGTCAACATTTGGAAGAACTCTGAAAATGCTCTGCTGATTATATCTGTTTGATTGGTTTTTTGGCAGCCAGATTAGGTTTACTGATGCATTAAAAGGAAAGGGAAAAGCAAGAGGCAGCAAAGTGAACGTGTGCATAGGTAACAATTCCAGAGCAGGAAGTAAAGAAGGAAATAGTGCAGTAAAGATGATGTGAGGTGGAGGCTGCTCAGGCCCAGGTGAGACAGCTCCTACACTGCAACATCCCCTGCTGAGCACACACTGTAACCTCACTGTAACCTCGGGCTCTTCCTTCCCACCTCTGGCAAACATCTAATGGTACTGTTTGGCTTTAAGTGCTAAGGACACAGACAGCCTTTGGGATCTGTATCTGGAAAGTCAGGTCAGTCACTCCTACTGTAACCCCAAATCCAAAATACCTCCTAGCAACTGACAAATCCTGGGATCTTCATTATACCATTGATCACAAAACTGAATAGGAAGCAATTTTTTTACTGTATTATTATTCTTCTTCATAGGCCACTTGAAAGTAAACTTAATCTACTGGCTTGCAGTTATCCAGAGATGTGTTTTAAACTTGAGAAACCAGAAGGGCTAGACTATGAAGGCATGTGTTCTTAGACATGTTTTTAATAAAAAAGGAATGCACACGTACAAGTGAAAATTTCCATGTTAGAAATGTTCTGTTGAGTTTGTATTAACTCCAGGAGACCTAAGGCAGGGTGAAGAGTCAGTCTCCTGACCTTGGCCAGAAGCCCAGCATGACCTTTTAGATGTGGTGAACACCATTCAGCAGTCTCATGCACACAGTTTTCCTCACTTGAATGCTGGAAGAATAATTCTTCTGTAGGCTAAGCAAGGTAGTAAGGGAAAAATTAGGTTGGCTGGAGGTTGGAGGAAGACTCAACACTGCGTAAAGAAGAGATGGAGGCTTCTGCTGACAACTGGTTCAGTCCTCAAACTTGAGTCTTTGCTTTTTTGCAGGCTGGCACTGCTGTTTCTTCCTCTTCAACCTGGCGAGGCTTCTTCACCGTGTACACTACGCCACAGGCACTCTTTCGAGTTTCTGGAATACACAAGCAGAAGCTGCAGTACCAGTACCTCAAATACTCAAATAAAATGCACTTAAGGCATATTCAGTTCAAGTGTCCGTGCCCCAAACCAGCTGGACATGTTGAGCAGCCAGCCAGCCAGCACACACAGAAGGGAAGCAACCTGCAAGGGCAGGAGCTCAGGATTCACTGCATTACAGAGTGGAGAAATTGCCAGGGGAAATACAATGGTGGGTGTAGAATTATAGCAAACCAAGCAAAACCAAGGTCTGCAAGGGCTGAGGAGCTGCAGAAACACAAAACCGTAGGAAACCAGGCTTACTCAGTTCAATTATCACAGAAGGACACATTCTTGGAAGCACTGTCAAAAGCATTTCTAAGCCAAACACAGTTCTTAAAAAAATACTAAAAAAATGCTTTCACATGCCCCAGGATTCTTAGACTATGTGGGCACAACTGTATTGGCAGAGGAACCCCTACATATCAAGGAAGTGACTTCATGGTATTCAAGAATTTTATTTACTGAACTCTCAACATTGCCATAAAATACTGGTGTGTGATGTTACCAATCCTCACATTTGTCAAATACTGAGCCAAATCATCCAATTTTATAATTACTGGTGGGAAGCTTCTCTGCAAAATTTAAGTTAGAAGAGATTCCCTACAAATATTCTATTAGCAGAGAGGCTCTGCAAGAACCTTGATGAAATATATTGACTTATTCTGGGCTAGTATCCTCTCTGGGACAAGGGAAATGACACTTGCTATTTAATTTCACAGATAAGATAGATGACAGGCTTGAGAAATCCCATATAAATTTGACAAACATTATATCTCTATGTAGATGAGTAGCAGGCTGGAGGAGAACTGTTGATTTTGCCATGAGTTTGAAATGATCCACACTGAAGAGTGAGTCAGAAATAATCCACGTATTAAAGCATCAGAAAGGGACAAGACTAAGGTTGCTTCTGCACACATGCTACAAAAAGGCAAATGCAAAACACGTGCCTAGCCATTTTTTTAAGTCAATCAATTAGTTTTGTCAGTGTCACCAAGATCAGCATTCAAACCTTTCTGAAATGGGATGGTTTCACTATGAAGCACAGCAGGAAGGTCCCTATTTTGGTTCAACCATTTATGACTCATTAATGTGGTTGAGTGAGTCCTTCAGCACAGACAGCACCATCAGCTCAGCAGCTGATTTCCAACATGGCAACAAGGGAAAATAAAACAGCCTTGCCACACAAGCTCCTCTTCATGCATTGCACAAAGAAGCTAAAACCTCGATCTGACTTGCTCTGTAAGGTCTCAGACCTTCTGGAGAATATGCATCAACAAGGACTGAGTTTAACAAATGCACATGGTTACTTAGAGGAGCTCACAAGTGCTCACCTCCATGCAGCATGGCTGCTCTGCAGTTGGTGGATACAGCTGCCTTTGCTTCGCCTTCTGACAGGCCAAACAGCAAACCTCTGTCACTGCTGCTCAGGATCAAAACACACAGGAAGCAACAAACACAACAGGGAAGGCTCTCTGCATGATAGGTTTGCTTACTCCACAAATAACTGGGAATTAGTGAAGCTGTAACTCAAAGTGACATTTTGCATAAGGTTACCCAGAAGCAGAGAAATGAAGCACCCAGTTCTGGCTGCATTTCACTTGCAGCCCTCCTGGAAAGCTCCTGGCAACAGTGCTTCTTTCCATACAAGAAGCTGTACTTTTGAAAATAAAAGTCTGTCAACACAGGAACATTCTAGATGTGCATAATCATGCAAAAAAATTACCCCACGGGAAATTTCGGTTTTGGGGACAGGGCACTGTCTGATACAAAAGCATTATGCTGAGGCTTCCAGCCACCTTTAGCAGGGATGACACCACATTAGCTATGTTAATTTGGGTTGAGCCTGACTGCTCATTTTAAGAGGGAAGAAAGTGCTGTGCATAAAATCCTTCCAGGCCACACAGCCTCCCACACGGTTCTCATGACTCAGAGCAGGCTCCTTCCCTTCCAGGGACAGGCCAGATATGTGCTTCTGGGGTGGAGAGAGCAATAAAAATGCATCTGAACTCCTAAAAGAAGAAAAGATACTCTCCTTTGTTTCTAGTACACAACCACTTATTTAACAGTACATGTGTAATAAAGGAAAAATTCAGAACAGAAGTAGTTACTGCTCAGATATGAACTTTTAATTTTACATAAATATGATTTTATAGCTTCTGCTACCAAAAATGACACTTTGTAGATACTAAATAATAATTTCTGGTTTGGTTCACAGTATCCATAGATTTGTATGGGTTCTATTAATTTCACCATTTACACCCACACAACATGAATGCACATCACATCACAACATTCCTGCAGTTGAACATAAACATTATTAGTTACAGTGACTTCTCATGCCACCCCATCACCAAGATCTGTTGCTCCTTCCACATACACTCAGAGCCCTGATTCATCAAATGGGTCACAAACAAATACTGTATAAAGTTCAAGGACTGTAAAGGATGAAAATAATTTCAAAACCACTTTAAACATTCCAATGTTACTACAAACTGCAGCCTTTGACTTTGGGAAAGGATACAGATTAGCCACATCATAAGGACCTCGGAGCTCCAGAGGCTAAAACAAAACAAAGAGGTTTGGATATGTGAATGTCTTTGCTGTCAGCCTGACAGTGTGAGCAGGCAGGGCAAGGCTATCAGATAGGCAAGATTAAATGCTATATAATAGCAAGCTACTGAAGATAATAGGAAATCAAGCAGTTACCACTATTTTGGCAAACAGAGTCTCCATCTGGGGAAAACTGTAATGGAAATTACCACAGCAGCAGCAAAAAAATCCCCCAAAAACCAACAAAACAAAACAACCAACCAAAAAAATCCCAAAACCCACAATTCAATTCTTTGGTAATGGCAACCATACCTAAACTTACAATTTTATATGTTTAATGTGTAATTAAAGCAGTATTTTCAGCCACAGATAAATCTTCAAATTGTTCTGACTTAAAAAATAAAATCCGGGACTTACCCTTTCAGCTGCACTAGATACAACTATGTTCTGGAAAACAAAAGAGAACAAACATTCAACTGTCAGACAGAATCAATAAATGAAAAAAGAAATCAGCAAGACACAAAAACTTTATGAGCACTACCTAAGTTCAGGCTTAGAGCCCAATGAAATAAACATCAGAGTACCTGATGCCCTCAGATGAAGTGAACTCTATCCGTGTGGGAACTTAAGTTGGGGACATGATAAACTTAGTTATTGCCCTGTCCCCTACACAGATAGAAGCACAGGCACAAGCCCTCCCTTGCAATTACAAACCTCTCACAGCCAGACAGGAGATGAATAAATGCATCACATTTTAGAGGGATAGGCTAAGCAGTGTAAGTGTCCAGAGTGATGGCATTAAGCAATCACCTACCAGCCTTCATCTTTCACAGTGGACTTCAAAGCACCCTTAAGGGTAAAGAAAAAATGCAGAGCTGCAAGTACTGAGTTAAGAATTGTCCCCTTTATTTACACCAGCTGAAAAAGGCCCCACAAAAACAACAGCTCATCATGAGCTGTAACAGAAATGGATTCAGGAATCCAGGATCCCCCAGAAGCAGTTTACAGATAGTGCCTTGACACAGTTTGGTGCTCCCAAATTTTCAGCCTATACTGTTGCAGGTACAAATCAATGCTAAGCATTCATGTTAGCCTTGACCATAATCACACTGGTTCAGGAAAGGTATCTACACTTAGGCAGTGGCTGCCACTTTCTGCCACACACTCATTTCCCTCAACACTGATTTCCCTTATGAAAATGACCAGGCAGAGAAATCCTTCTCCCTTCTCTCCCCAAAGATTTCTGCAGAATAGGTATGTGACTGCCCAGGGGCTGGCAGATCCCACAGCTCAGCTGCCAGAGCTCTTTTGATGCTAAGCTCCGAGGATGCTAACCTAGGGGGAGCCTGTTTAGCTCAGCTGGTAACTCTGCAGCAGCAAAATCTCCCTGCACCTTTTATTATACTGAACAAAAGGCTTTGGGAATTCCTGCTTGAGTGGGTGAGAGTTAGAATTGTGCTGAGGCAGAGACAGACTTTCCCTCTCTGACATGAGCACCACCAACACAGCATGCCATCTCTGGTTTCAAGATGGGGCTTTAGATCCCTTCCCCACACTGCTTTGCTTCCCCTGACACCTCCCCAGCACAAAGAGCTGGGCAGGCACTGGAGGAAAATGCCCTGTGTGCAGCTGGAATTCAACAACTGAAAGACCTATGCAAAAATGACTGCATGTTCACACTGTGCCCAAGGTTTCCTCGTGTGCTGAGGAGGAGAGGATGGGACAGATGACTCTGCCTCACCATAAGGAAAGCCAGAAGCAGAAGCAACATATACATCAAAGTGACTGAACAGCACACATCCTGACAGTGCCTGGGACATTGTTTTTTCTGAATAGTTCACCTTTAAAACGACTACACCATGGATCCCAAAGGTGTTTTTGAGCTTAAGTGGTGCTGACTGCAAGAGCTTGCTGGGAAAATTCAAATCTCCTGCTCCAAACTGTAGCAACCAATGCCTGTCACCCAGGCTCAGAGAAGCTCCCAGAGCAGCTGTATGAGACACCTCAAACCAGCACGGGACTGCAGATCACTGCTGTGCATTGCAGATACACTCGGCCTGCTTCAAAGGCAACTGGCATTTCATTTTCATAGGGGATGGGTAAGATGGAGGAAGGAGACAAGAGCAGACAAGAAAAGCATTGCTGGCAAGTGAAGGATAGGCAGGCAAAGGCAAATCCAAGGCAAGAGCTAAAGGGAAATCTAAAAGGCAAAACACTATCTCCCCAGGTAAAGCAGACAGCAGCTGTTCAGTGCACTGCTCCAGGCAGCCTCCAACTCAGTTACCAAAACATGGCAGGTGAGGGACTGTGACTAAACACACCTTTTGTCTGGCAAGGCAGGGGAGTTTCTCCTTCATTCTCAGCACATTTTAATGTTTTGAAGACACTGCTCAATGCCAGCTCTGAGAACACAAGCAAATTTCTGAAGGTTTCTCTGCCCTGCTATAATAGAGGAGGAATAAAAGGATCCAGAAGCTACTACAGGTTCAGCAACTACATGCTACAGAACATGAGAGTTGCATGCCAGGTGCCAGTGGAAGTAGCCTATGGACCAGCTATCCCATGTCTCATTTAAACAAAGGCCTTTACCTCACTGACAGAGGCAAACCCTCAATAAGGGCTAATAAGCATCTCTGCTGGTCCACAACCTACTGAGTTTGGAGGCAAAGAACAAAGACAAGCTCACAGTCCTCTTCCAGTGCCCAAATATGAATTGTCACATACAGCTCCAGCTGGTTTACCTTCCAGGCACAGATGAAACACTAGACTGACAGATGCAGAATGAAAGGGCACCGTGCACAGAGTGCCTGAACATCTCGCTTGCCCTGTCCATGACATCAACTCAACTGGTGCTCTCCAGTTCATCAACAACCATGTGAAAAGCACATCCTGAACTGCACTGAGTAAAGAGGAGCAATATCAAAAAGGGAATTCCAAAGGAAAAGGGTCTGGTGTGTGTAGAAGCCATGTTCAAGTCAGTACTTCATGCCATTAACTACCAGAGCTGGGCTTCTCAAGAGAGGCTGTGCAAATACTTATTTCTTCTGTAGTACCAAGGAAACTAATCTGACCCACTCTGCTGTTCTATAAAAGCTGCCATGCTTGAGGAGAACTGAGGTAACGATGGATCTACTTTTAATTTACCTTCCAAGCTCTATATCCCATTTCAGATTTTCCAAATCCAGCTGCCATTCAGATGCCAAATCCAGCTTCTCTGGACTAGCTACATGTGGCAGAGGCCATTTACAATACAGAAGGGGGAGCTACAATTTCTGTTAACTTTGATATGTATTATGACATGACCTCCTATGAAAAAGCATGGCCTGAGAAGACACAGCATAACAGACAGCTTAACCTTGCAGCCTGAGAGGAGGTAAGTTATGAAAGCCATTGGTTACAGGCATCTCAGTTCTTCCTTGGGTTTCAGTAGCAGGAAGAATGCAGTTCATCCGACTGCAGTAAAGCCTTGGCTGACAGCCAGCTAGCTGTTGGGTCTATTTTGGACACAGAATTTACTAACCTTTTAACAAAACAAGGTTTCTACTTTTTTTCTTATTATTTTCTAGACTCCATATATAAAGTATACAGTCAAAAGAGCTTTTGGTAAATGAGAAATATGAACTGGAGGATTTTAAAGAAATACATTAATTTCAGTTCTGGTGCAAACCTTACCTCCCACCTATGTTTCGGGAATTGCATACCATAACAACACATGGGTTGCTCTGGAAAAAGAATCTAACAGCTTGACAGCTTAAGAAGAAAGCATGCAGTGATGCAAGACTGGAAGTATCTGGAGCTACAACGATTGTGTCCTTGTGTTAGTAGGCCAAGATTTAGTCACAGCTTCAGATGTCCCAGCATCAAACTCAGTTAAAATGGCTCAGTCTGTACAACTCCAGAAGAATTTGAACTGATTTAATTACCTTGTTTTCACTTTGAGAGCTTACCTTTCCTTTGCAGATCTGCATCAGGCTGATGGCATTTGAAATTGTGTATCTTCTCATTGTAGAGTCTTTGATGGCAGGCGTGTAAAGAAGTTCAAAGTAAATGCCTCGATCTATTGCCTTCACATGAAAGAGAGTGATCAAAAATCAAAAGGAGAGAAGCCTAACTCTCTAACAACTGCTGTCTATTTTGATGTAGCTTATTCTCAGTTTAACTGTGTCACATATGAAAAAATTAAGGCAGAATTGTTGCAGTAAGAGCACAGCATAGCATGAAAGGAGAGCGGAGGAAGGCTTCACTGTACACCAGATACGTGTGCATAAATCTTGGATGACAGATAAATGAGGTTTAATAAACAAATACCAACCACTTATTTGTTGTAATTGGCTATCACTAATATATACACACTATCACAGAGTCGAGGAGACAGATAACCACTGCTGGTTATCTGCTGTCTTGAAACTTTGAGGACCCTACTCCTCCAGTCCCACATCCTGCTATAAGAAAGATCACCATTTGCCTCAGCAGCCATGCATTGCAGATGAAGAATTCCTCCTTGCACAAAAGCAGCAATGAGGACCTTTCTCCTGTCTCACAGCATACTCTAGTGTTTGTGACAACGTTAAATAACAGTGAGTCACAGAAGAGGTTTCAAATAGTAATACTGATTTTATTTTCAGCTGCTTTGACATCCTTTGCTATCTGTCAAAGTGCCTCACCAAAAGCCTAGAATTCTTGTTTTTGCAAGCACAGAAAGGTTAAGCAACTTGCACACGGTGTGCTAGCAATAAAGACACAATGTAAAGCCAGGAGTTCTTTGTTGCATGGCAATCCTACATTTGCCTGAAATTATACGCTACATTCACACAAATACTATTAAATATGCTGCAATGGTAATACTGTAAGAGAGTCCAGTAACTGAATACAACAGGAATTAATCCAGCTCCCACCCATGCATGACCTCTGCATGCAAGCACAACTTGCTATATATGCATGAAAAGCTTTACACAGAACTGGCCTGATAGTTGCAAACAAGAGAAGCCTGAATTTATAAAAACCAAACAGGTGAAGGGAATACACCAATTTCCAGTCAAGGTGACTTTTAACCACTTCACCAGTTTCCAGTCAAGGTGACTTTTAACCACCTCAGCTGCCTGCCAATCTGTTTGGAATTGTAACAACCAAATCTGACTGCCCCAGGATGCATAGACCCGTCCAACAGACTGCCTTGAAGCTGTGAGTGTGGAAGATGAGAAGTAGCCTGCAAGGAAAAGGCTTCCCAACACAGGGCTCTAAGAGCCACACAGCTCCTTACCTGGGCCAGCTGCTGGAGTTTTAGGCAGCAAGGGTACGTTCATACAGTGTTTCATGCAAAATTATTATTCCAAGTGGAATGTATTATTTTATTCCAATGTATTATTTTAATTCTGTCTCAGAACTAATTCTAGTTAATTTTGAATTTTTATTCTAGGTCAAACTTTCTAAGGAAGTAGAATTATTAGACAATTCCAATGTAAAGTTTTGAGTACTAAGTTCTACATCAGCCAAGAATGTCCATATGGAATGAACCTTCACATATACTGAGATGAGAAAACAATTCCCCTAAGAGCATGTTCGGATTAAGTGTCTGGCAAACTACCAACAGCAGAACTAAATCTGATCCACACTGATAGCCATCTTGGATCCCACAGCCCCTATTTAACAATGCTACATTTGGTTAATTTACCAAGACATTCTTTTGTCCAAGTATGGATTTAATACAGTTGTCTTTCAAGTAACCAGCACAACATCCTTCTCCCAAATTAACACAGCCATTCACATTTCCTATCTTTTAAATCAAAGGGCTGTTTATCTGTTTTGACACAGCTATACCACTTCTGGTTTGGGAAGCAGCTTAGTCAGCAATCACACCATATCTCCCTACTTAGCAGCACAGTGACCTCCAGGTTTCGTTTCCACTCCTTGGGAACACCACTTCTGCCTTCTTAAGTGGGGGACGGGACAGGAGGAGAAGAAGAAAAAACATGCATCACTGTGTATTAAATGCTGCAGTGGAGGCATTGAAGTGAAGGACATTTGAAACAACACTCTACATTTTGAAAGAAAATAAAAGAACCACTTGGATAGGAATAGTGGGAGGAAAGCAGTGGGGAATTTGACTCAAATTCTGTATTTAATGTCAGTCTAACAGCAAGAAAACACTTTAGATGTAAATTTACCATATTCACAGGGGGCCTTCGGAAGTAGAATGGCAGCTTTTCTGTTACATTTATGCAGACCAGATCCACATCTAATGTTGTGCAAGCAATCTACAGCAAAGAAATAGGAACAGATTATTAGATATGCCAAAAAATGCATAACCAACTTGAGGTGCACTAATATTCTCCTTCATTTCTTAATGCAACAAATGTCTCTCCAGGGTGAGTTCAGTTTTAAAATTAAGAGGTACTATGCCTTGCAGGTATGCCAACAGAACAGCAGCATTTGAGATTTAAAACCCAAGTCTTTCCTTTCTTAGAGAACTAATTTTCCAATAAAATAATGGTCAACCCCAAAGCAATACCTACTTCTTTGTTTTTATCTGACAGAGGACATGCAGAAGGAATGCTGGCTTTTGACAAAAGAACTCACAGATAATAAAGGCCAAACCCAGTTTACAAAGTGAAGAGCCTAGGAACTGTCCCTTGTCCCATCATGATCTGCTTCCAGTGAAATAACTCTATGTTTTCAGGATTAATTAATTTTATCAGAAGCAATAGAGAAAAGAATGAAAAAAAAGTAGAATGTGACTATTACTGGTGGTGCTGCATACTGGAGACCAATCCTTAGAGCCTCCCTCTCCTGGCTGGGTGGAGAACGGGCAGCTCCTCCTGACAGCCACACCTCTGGCAGAGTCTGGAGACAGCACTGAAGGCTACAGTTTAAGAGTTTAGCTTTGAGTTCACACCACAATTTACAGGTTGTATTAAGAGATGGAAGGAATGAACAAGAGGCAGAGGCTCCTCACATTGAGATACAGAGAAAATTAAGGGTACCTAAAAGGGAGTCCTTGATTTACATTAATCTCAAGCACCCAAGGTAGGAATAATATATGCCTACTCTGTAAGGATGATTACACAGGGCTAGACTAATGTCTGTAAGCAGTGTTGTAACAAAGAAGGCAAGATAGGCTGAAGAAGTTGAAAAGGAATTTTCTGTGTGTAGGGGAACTCCCTACACTCAGAAACCTGCCAGGAACTACTCCAAATAAACCTGGGCCAGATGCCAACCATTCATCCTCCATCCCTCCTCCCACCAGCACAACAGCCGTGGGGGCTGTGAGGAGCCCCAGGGGTAAGGGCTGTTTTAAAACAAGACACACTGCTGCTTGGCAAACTGGTCTTCTACCAGTTTGTTCACATGGAATTTGGATGGAGATGAGAGCAGAGGCTCCAGCTTTAGGAATGTTTCTGAGCTGTTGATAGCACTCTCTCCCAGGCAAGACAGCCACAGTACACATGCAGGCAAACCACAAGGTTTTTGAAATGTCTCTGCCAGGACATTCAGACTAAATTTTTCTTTATGCCCTACCTTTATCTTTATCCTCCATTAGGCAGGACATGGGATGCTTATGGAATCTATGGCATAGAATTAGACTTGCATGAAGAAGTTCAGTCCTACTACAGTCAGTTTCCCTCCCTTTCTTACATGAGGCACAAACTACTACACAGAGGTGATTTACGGGAATATGCACAGAATAAATAGCTCTGAATCATGCCCTAGAAAATATGTCAGTGAGGTCATAAAAAATTCAGGAAGAGATAATGCTAAAAATTAAGGAAAGCAAGAATAGACAGACACATGCAAGTTGCCCTATGTGAAGGGAAATCAAGCCTTCCTAATTAGCTCCATAAACACTGGAAAATTCTTTCTCATTTTGCACATTAAGCACAGTGGGAAAGAGAGCGACTCAAAAGCCAGGATATCTACAGGATTCCAGTGACATGAACATCTCAGAAAATACCACCAAGGAAAAGCAAAGTGCGAGTCATATTTCCCCATGAGGAATTCCTACATTCTGTGAAAAACCGGAGGGCAGATTTCTCCAAGAGCTCTAATGTTCAGCCTAGCTCTGGCTCCCAGACAAGTCAGATATGCAGGCAAGTTAAGGTTACCCTGCCTGCTGAAAAGATCTGAAGTGCAACAATTTCATCCAGAAAATTACATAGAGCAAGTTGCACAGCCCAGCAGCTGCCTGGCAGCACTGTGGGCAAGAGCCCCATCTGCTGGGAAACTCCATCCAGCCATTATTAAATACATCTGCTACTGCCCGAATGCTCTGAAGTAAGTTTTGGCAAACGTTTTAGGAATAAACATTGAAATCTGACTTTGTACTATACCCTCAGATTTACATATTTAAGTTATTTTAGATACTGGTAATGTGCTAAGTGCTTATGAACAGCAGACAGAGCTAACTAATATCATTAAAACAGTCAGAAATCTTAGAAAGCAAAATTTTTGAAAAGCGGGAAGTACAGACCCTATCACCTGCATGGAGTGGGCATTCCTGCTGCAGGCCAAAACAAACCTTTTGGGAGACTTAAACAAGGAGCCCATTCTACAATTGGCAAATATGGCTTTCTCATTCCCTTAAGGATATAAATTATTTGAAGAATTTGAGCACATCTTTTAGTACATATCACTGCCACACTCAGTCATAAAAGAGCTTCCCTGGCTTGTGATGAAAGGACACAGACTAGTTTTGGGCCATGTTAAAATTGGAGTACATCTCCAGTGGCCATGTAATTTTTCCATAAAAACATGAAAAATCTTGTTCTACAGAGAAAATGTAAGTGTCAAATTTTTGAGAAAGATTATGCCCTTGAGATAATGTTGAGTTACCAAAAGCCAATAGGAAGTTAATTTGTCACACAAGATCCACTCTTGAAGGCTTTATTCTTAATACTGAAACACCCATGAGTTGTAAGAGCCGAACTGTATGTGCTGAAATCCCCTGTGTAATGTCCCTTTCACCAGACTCCCTGTGTGATACCTCTATAAAACTGAACCAGCTCTCCATAGAGAGAGACTTTCTAAAATCTCTAAACAAAACAATCATATAAACCTGCCCTGAATGAGAAAATGTAAGGATAAGTCTTTCACTCATGCACTTTGCAAGAAACATGCTTGGGTTCCATCCCCAGCTCAAAGTGCAGCCAGCATGGAAGCAACAATCTCACTGACAATCCTGCTTCTTTCCTCACACCCTGTCCATCACCTTCCAGAGTGTCAGCTTAACCAGGCACTGTCTGCACTGGCCTGCCACAGCACAGCCACCCGCTCTGCGCTGGCACAACTCTCCACGTGGCTGCGTGCTGACTCACACTGGGAAAGTGGATCTGCCTGAAAAATAACTTGGCAAAAACTCTGGTTACTGCTCAGCCAAAAGCAGGCTCCTCAAAGCAAACTCCAGGCAGCTAAGCAAGCAAGCAGCCTCAGCAGCAAAGCAGACAGGGACCTACAGAAACGAGTGGCTGTTTATGCCAGTTTAAACGCTGCCACAGCTGGACGTCCAACTGCAGCAGGAGTCATGATATGGCTGAAAATAAACAATAATAACCCTTAAATGAGAGAACACCCTTTTCCCAAAAAAACAACACAGCACACTCCTGCTGATTACCTAGCTTCAGGGGCTTGTTTAAACATATGATAAACTGATTGAGCTCAATTGAGAAGTGAGATTTTATACTATTGCCACAGATCAAAATAAAGAGGTGGAGAGTGGCCATCAAAAATATTTTAAACCATTTGCCTCTGTCACACCCACAAGAGTCCTAAAATCTTGCAAGTGAAACAAAATTCAGAAATTAGTTTCATTTAGCTGTAACTCTAATGCTTGAATTCTGCAGAAAAATTCTTTAAAGTTCATGTTCCTCAACAGTCTCTTGCTTTGTACTTTACTTGTCTTGAAATAGGAGGGAAAATAATGTAGAAAAACAAAACAGAAGAATACAATTTTAATGTGGCAAAACAGGTACTCAGTAGTATTAGAAAGTGGCTTTAACTTACTCTAAAAAAACAATCATCAGACTCAGTTTTAAACTGGAGAGACCCCCTTTGAAAGTAAATTTTTCAAAGAAACTTGCTTTTTTTTTCGCTGTCCCTGTCCCTCCTTCACACTGCTTTAAACTGCATGCCTGCCTGCTGCCTGTCAAGGCTAACAGAGATAGAACACTTCCACCTACTCCCCCAATTCAGACTTAATGTTATTATTTATGAGCTTACAACAGGTCAGATATCACAATTTTGGGTTTTGTAAGAAGAAGTCTGAGGAAAACATAACTTGCTTCAAGGTGCTCCACCCAATCAGAACATCGACATCAGCTGTTATCAAGTATTCGAGAACAATTTAAATAAAAATATGGACATGGAGGTGAACAGCTATCAGATAACTCACAGAACTACATTAGTTCTACTTTAAAATCATCCCTATTATTTTAGAGACCAGGAATAATTAGCTGAAACAGAAGAGCACAAGTGCATTTTAGGGAAGTTGTCAAGAGTTTGAGAAGCTAAAGCTGAAGACAGAAGTTTTCTATATGATGATAGTACACATATATTGGGGAGGGAAAAAAGGATATTTTCTCTCCTCACTAGAGTACAAGGCACACAAAGGCAACCACAGTGCAGGGGCATACAAGTCCATTCATCAGGCAGATGAGGTAGATGTTTCAGACTTTAACCTATAAACTCAGGGTCTTGCAGCCTCCTGCAAATCCTTCCAAACCCCTCAGCCTATCAACTGACCAGGCAGCCTATAATGTTTGATTCACTCCATGAGGTCTTTATAAAATGGGAAATAAAATCAAAACAAAGCATGTACTTAAACTAGCACAAGGCCCTAAAGGTTACTCAATGAGCATTACTGACAAGATGATTGTACTTACATGGAACAGTTTCTCAGTTTTTGGAAATACTGCTATGATGTCATATAACCTTATATTTGCAGATGTCGATCTCTATAAAAGAAGCAAACAATTACCACCTTGAATTCTGACAGATGTCAAAGCTATGCACAATGATTACAACCAAAACAATGAGAAGAAAAATTCTTTTTCCTTGTAAAGTACTAAAACAAAGCCAATAATCATCCAATTACATAGCAGATTTCTTCAGTAAAGTCATCCATTCTCAGTTTGAGGCTTGTCCCACCCATCTACAAAGACACACTTATTGCTTTGATCTTGTTGCATGAAAGCATAACCAGATACAAGGCTTGCTCATGGTCTTCTGGTTTATGCACAGAAGTCCAGAAACCAAGGAACAGAACTGTTTTTCCATATTGACAAATGATCAACCAAAGCCATAACCAGTCTTGTAAGTCTGCATCTCCTTGTGATCACATTATTTAAGATGTGATCTCAGAAATCACTGCTGAGTGCCCTATAAATTCCAGGATGTTGTCCCCATAGAATTTCCAAAGTTTCATCATTCACTGAGAAAAGGAAATAACAGTTGCAAAATTGATTGCTGAGTATACTTACCAAGAGATTGCAGTGGGAAGGATCAGAAACAACAAGTGTAAGCCGAGTCAAAACTTTAATTCTTTTAGATGTCCCCTATAGAAAAAGGAATAATACAAAAAATTTTAAACCCCAAGCAAAAATTTGTGGTAATTTCTAACCAGTCTACCATAAAAAGAAAATGGTGTCATGCTTATAGTCTTGCTATACTAGTTTTCTAAAGTCTGTAGTTATGTTTCCCCAATTTACATTATCTCTTTGATACTATATCTGTCCTTACAAAAAATGACTTACTGTGTTTCTCTGGAGAAAGGTGAATAGAAAGGAAAAAAATTAAGAAAAACAATCATTCAGAAAAATGGAGTATGTTTTACTGCTATGATTCCTCAGGCAGGCCACAACTGCAAGGAAAAGCAGTTCTTAAATTTATCATTGTCACTGACCTGAAACACAGTCTTTAATTTCTTTATATCCAAATTTTGCTCCATCAAAACCACAGTTATTTCCAAAACTTCGGTTTCAAGAATTGTACTGTAATTATTCAACTACAAGCAGACTGAAAATTCACACAAAGCAATTTCTTTAATAATTTCTAAGATAATGAACAGAACCTACCCCGATGTGAGTGTACCATCCTTCCAATGCTTGTTTTCTTTTACCACGAAATAATGAACAAATTTCTCTTTTTTGATTAACAACTCATACACAAAATCACATATACAAACACGCAAAGGTAAAAAAGGTAACTCAGAATAACAATATATATATTTATAGAATATAACTAGACATACTTGTACAATAGGCAAAGATGGAAACAACTCTGAAGGGGATACTGGCTTGATGATTTCCTTGAAAGAGAACAGAATAAAGTTATTACAAATGTCATGGGTTATGTTTACATGTAAACAAAAACTGTGTTCCAATCTTAAGAAGAAATTTACCGTGCCAAGAAAACTATTTTTGTGGGACAGTACATGAACCATATTAAATATTAATCCCAGGGTGGTTCTACTGAAATATAAAATGGGAGTTTTGTTACAAATAGAGAGATTTGTATTGTGTCTAGATTCTGCATTCTACAGCTAAAGCTATCTAGAAACATACAATAAGGTAGCAGGTTTACTAAAGAAAACACAGTAAGAACAAATAACCCCAAGCAAAATTACCTGTTTCTTTTCTTTAAAATCGATGACATGATTAAGTGCAACTGCAGAATATCCCACTGAAAAACACACAGTAAGAATATTTTGTCCAGTAAACAAAAAGGAAACAAATCTAATGAGAAAACTGTAAAGTACTCATTACCTAAATGTCTAAAAGTTACTAATCATGTGCATGTTTAGATTTCACGGTATTTTTTAAGCAGACTAGTTTACCCAAAAAAGTGCTTTAAAATACAAAAAAAAAAAAAAAGTCTGTTTGGCTTTTAACACAGGCTGGGTCAGACAACTCTTAATGACAGAGCTTTATGAACACGAATACTTGGGCTTGGTGTCTCCAAAGGTCTGGTCTAGTTTGGCCCTGTTTGTGACTTGCTTTATGGTAAACTGCTAAGGATATTCAGGACAGTCGATAAAACCGCGGACAACGCAGAGCTGGGAGATACAGCGCTCGGAGAAGGCAAAGCGAGCAATTCAAAACGATTCAGAACGGAGGAGCAGGTATGGTTCAAAGCTCTGAGGAGGACGAGACTTGCCAGGGCCATTTAAACCACCCGCCCCAAATGCGGGCAGGCACACGTGGCTGTGCACCAGCGCTGCAGGAAAACATCCGGCCCGTACCAAACTGCAGGCGGAAAAACGTGTCCACGATGGGAAAACCCAACTCTTACACCGGGATAAGCAGGCAGAGACAGAGCTGCAAGGCGCAGCAGGAGCTTCCCCTGCCACCCAAGCCGGGCAGACCCAGCGCTGGGCACTGGGCTCGCACAAAGCTGCGGGCTGAGCGGAGAGCGCGGGCGGAACGGGCCCACAGCGGGGCGGGGGCGAGGGCCGGCCTGCCCGGAGGGAAGGGAAGGCTCATCCCGGGGAGTCCGGCCGTGCCCATCCCAGCCCGCAGGCTCCGGCTGTGCCTCCCGAGCCAGGGGAGCCGCCGCTCGCGTCCCGCTGCCCTCCCGGCCGGGGCCGGCCCGCTCTCCCCAGCTCAGCCCAGCCGAGCTCCGGGCCGGCCCCGCCGCCCTCGCCGCTCGCAGGACTCACGGTGCGCCGCGGTCTCCAGCAGGCTCTGCAGGGACTTCTTGTCCAGCCCCTGCGGCAGGTTCAGGTCGGCGAAGCCCGCCATGCTCACGCCGCGGCGGGCGGGCCCAGCCCGCGCCCGGCAGCGGCTCCGCCCTTCCCGCCCGTGGCAGCCTGGGCCCTGTAGTCCCACCCGGGCCGGGCCAGCGGGGCCGTGCTCGGCATGGCGCTGGGTGCCTCGGCCCCGGGTGCGGGGTGATCGCTCGGGTCTCAGGCGGGGGCCCTGAAGGAGATCCCCGGGGGTCGTTCTCAGGCACCCCGGGCTCTGAGGGACATCCCCCCGACTCAGATCATCCATCCCCCGGCTCTGCCGCTCTCCGCAGCCGAGAGGAGCCGAGGCTCGCCGGCCCCTCCGAGCCACCGGGTGCCCGCCAGGTGGAGCGGTAGCCCTGCTCCAGTGGCGTGCTTATCCCCTGTCAAACTGGTTCAGCTCCGTCTGAATGTTGCCAATAAACATCAAAACCAATCTTTTCTATTTATAGTTTTATAGTTATTCTCTTTCCTACAGAACTCCAAGCTGCCGTATCAAAGGTATCCCCTGACACGGAAGAGGACTGAGGAATTCTCACAGACCAATAACCAGATACAAGTTCACTGTGTAGCACTACCACAAAAAAGTATAAATATTGTTCTACCGCTGATAAATAGCACATAATATGTAAAATACAAATGGAAATTCTCAGTAGGTGGTTTTTGGTGACTTAGAGCAGCTGCTGAAGACAGCAGGTCATTCCTGTCTAACTTCAGGTGGCCAGACCAGGGGGTCCTTTGTTTTCTCTATCTTCAGATTGGGCTAAATGCTCACCAGGGGAAGTCTGTGAAGTATCTGGAGCCCTGAATTCTTAATAAGGCAAAAATGCTTCTAACCAAGGCCAAGACTTCTGCCAAAGCCTGAACATCCCTCCTTACAGGGTCTGACCTTGATACAGCTTGTGTCAACTGTGTGCATGGGACTGATAGGGACCAGGGACTCATTTCTACCAAAGAGAAAACTTGGTTAACAAAGTATGGCTGAGAAATAACAGCGTGTTTGTTCATGGTGTGTTTCTGGACTTCCTGTCCGATGACAGGAATACAAATACCTGGGATGGTGGTAGCACAGAAGATACTTGTGGGCTGCAGTCACTGGACGAGGAGTTGAAGCAGCTTTGAGGGTCAGTAGAAAACAGCTCCCACATCTGTATGGCAGGAAAAAAACACGTCACTGTGAAAGGGGTAAAACTCCCCAGCTAGTAAACCATCCCTGTTGATGCCACATCTATGGGAGCATGTTTTTCTTGACAATATTAGGTCAAGATATTTCAATAAAGAAGCTCTGTTTTAGTCCATCTGCATCTGTAAGGTGCTTGCCTGCTACATCAGATCAGCCAATACTGCTTATCTGCCAGCCATTTGAACAAGCAGCACATCCTGAATGGTATTGCTAAGGTTTTTTTAAATGTGTGTCAAAGTGGAACAGCTCGAGATATTATTCCAGGTTTTCTTTGGCTCAGTGTTTGATGTAACTTAATTTGTCTTAACAAATAGAAAAAGTGATCCAGAAGCTTGTATCAGTTATTTCTGAATGCCCTACTGCATCAATGTTCAGAGATAGCAGAGGATTAAGCAGCCGTTGTGTTTGGCAATATTCAAGCAAAAGAAACCTTTCTTTGAGGTGCTTAAAATAAAGGACATTTAAACAGATTATCATGCAGAAGACCTGCAGAACTCTATTTGCTATAATGGTGTGAGAATCTGAGGATGAAGCACATTTAGCACTAGCTATCACAAATCATGTACTCAGAACATTGCAGAGCCTTATTTCCTATGTTATTATTTAGATATTACAGCTTTTATCTATGCCAGCCCCAGAAGTCTACTTAGAACTTCCTTATGGTCCTCACTGTTAAGCTATGACCTTCTAACCTGATTTGTTTCATTGCTGTTCTGAAGTTTTCCTTGGTGAAAACAGATCTCCTAACTCGAAGTGTTTCTTTCTCCACACACTTAGACCTCAAGACAGTCCCTTCAGTAAATTTTAATGCAGAAACTTTCACAATTCTTCTAATAGGTTTTCAATAGGCAGCCCATGGTAGCAACTGTTAGGTTTTTTCGCTTTAGTTCTGTATTTGGTACTTTTAGGGTGCTAAGATTTTATTTATTACTATCTGCCTCAGCAACTCAGTAACATGAATGTCACAGTCACTTTTATCATAACCTCATAACCTCAATAAGCTCCTATATAAAAGTACAGATGGAGTTTTCAGTTGGGAGCTCTCATTTTGAGTGATACAGAATTTTAAGCATAAATGTCATCTTAATTGCTCATTTTCTTTTCAGATGCCAGCTTGCTGTTGTTAGTATTTGCTGGTTCCCAAAAAGGGAAGACATAATTTCATATTTAAGTTGCACAGATGCAAGTATTTATTTGACAATGATAAGAAATGCCAAATATGGGAATAGTTACCTCTCTGTTTTAGTACCACAGAGTGATGGTGATTTATCTTCACAAAGACAAGAAAAGGCAGAAAACTGCAGCTGCAACATATTTGCTAGAAGTTAGACAAGAGTGTTATTTGCTAAACAGTACATGATGGGAATAAAAATTGAGATTTCAGTAATACCTTTAGCCAGTCTGATAAAATATTCTGAATGTTTTGACAACATATTTCCCCAAGGCAGAAGAAATAGATATCTATACTTTATTATTCCCAGCAGTTGGGCCTCACCAATCTTATATTTGTTTCTAAGAAAAAAAAAAGTAGGATAGGATAGGGGGAAGGAAAGGAAAGGAAAGGAAAGGAAAGGAAAGGAAAGGAAAGGAAAGGAAAGGAAAGGAAAGGAAAGGAAAGGAAAGGAAAGGAAAGGAATAAAAAAAGAAAGAAAAAAATGATAGCCAAATGAAAACAGTTCAAGGAGATAAGCTCTCTCAGGCAAGGAAGGACAAAAAAGGGGATGATAAGAAAGAACAAAAGAGCAAGAAAAATTCTAATGTGTTTGTTTATTGCATTGCATACTCATGTTACCTTCTTGAAATGTATACAATATTGAAGGATTTAAGCAAGGGAATGTAGCAATGCCTTCAACTTTTTGAGCTAAGATGAGCAGGGCTATTGTTTTCTAGAGGCAGCTGTGTGAGGGAAGGTGTTACCGTGCTGGGCTGTCAGCATTTTCTCCTCTGCTGCCGAAGCTCTTGCGCTGCATTCCTTGACCCACTTCAGTCAGGATCCTCCAAGTTAGCACAGACCTGCTGTCTGCAAGCATTAAGTCCTTCAGGAAGGGATGAAGGATCCGGGATTTAGTGCAAGTTTGATAGATACAGTCTGGCCCCACTAAATCAACATGTGCTTGGGAAACTGTATTTCCTTGGCTTGTCCGAATGACCTGTCTTACCTTATCTCACTAATAGGGGGCAAAGTATTGATACCCATACCCACTGCTGTAGTATACACTTAGTAGAAGATGTTATGTGATTAGCACTGTTTCTGAAGGAGGGGAAAAATTAAACAGAGGAGTTGACTACTTTGGGAGAGGAAAAAAAATCAAAGTAAAAAGTTCTCTTGCATTTTTTTCTTCTTTTTAGAATCTGAATTTTTTCTATATAATACTAATGAAATACCAGAGGTGAGATTTGCAAATAAAGTACATTATCAAATATTAACAAAATAGTTTAACTTCACTTAGTGTAGAAAGACAAAGGACTTAGCACAGAATTGGAGGTATATGGATATATTAAGAAGCTTTTATGCACAGGGAGCCTAAATTACTCAAAGGACAGGATTTTACTAAACCCAGCCAGAAAAATGATTTGATTATAGTTTTTGAAGCCTAATGGAAGGTGAAAAAGTAATTTTCTGGGTAGAGAACAAATGTCAGCTTGTTATTCTTGACACCTAATTGGACTTTTTTTTCACTTCTGTATGCTGTCTGAAACAACATGTTGGAATTTTTAAATAAGATCACTGAAGACAACAGTGGGAGGTACCCTTGGAAAGATCGAGTCCGACTTTCATGTATTGTTATTTTAAGTACCTAGAATAGATGTCTCATAGAATGATGGATTCTCTATCCTTTTCCAAACACTGGCCATGTGAAACGCTCTAAACCCTCACAGAAAGCTCCTGACCAGATTCAGCCCAGCCTGGGAAACTGGAAGTTGTTTCAGGTGTGTCCTAGTAAAAAGCTTTCACGGAACACATTTTAGAGAGGTGTCAGCTGCTTTGTCTTGCCAGGGTTTTTCACCTCTGCGATAGTACCTAAATCCCTTTCTATAATGGTACATAAATTGACTTAAATTCCTTTGTTTCTTCAAAGGAAAGATTACACCAAATTCAAAGAAGGGTAACATGGCCTTTGAGAAGGAAAGAAATCAGGTGATTAACTTGGAACGAACTTTAAAGGAATTTAAGATACAGAACAAAAGAAAAGGTTCAGTCCTACTTTTGGGTTGGAATGGGTAGGAGTACACACAAATGATCCTACAGATCATCCACTGAGAACATTTAGAGAGTCACATCCCAGAAGCGTATTGAAAAGCTGTCAAGAAGAATGACTGATTTAATGAACCTGTCTTAACATATTTGCAGGAGGCACCAGATTATAATTTGCTCTGCCTTAGTAACATTTTAAGTAATTGAAAAATTGCTTTCACTGGGAGTATAAAACTGTACAACTTTATCAGCTTTTGTGATAAGAATCTATTTTGAACAAAATTTACTAAGTTCCTAACTCCTTAGTTGTATTTCAGACACGATTTTTAAAAAATACGTTCAACCAATAAGGAAACATTCTCCAAGTTTTGCCTCAATGTTATAACTTGGATATATCCTTGCCATTTCTAAAGACCTTTTTCTTCCTAATATTTGCTTAACGGAGGAGGACAAAAGATTTGATTTATCACTTGGTGGGGTAACTTACCTTAAGCTCATGGCTCATGAACACATTTTGGTTGGTTAAACAGGGATTTTTATTTTGTGATTTTATTGCTTTTGCTATGATTGGACACAATAGAGCAACTAACAAACTGTAGGAAAACAGTTGACTGAACAGGAAAATGCTTTCAACTTGGTAATGGTAAAGGAGCTGCCCAACAAGATCTCATTCTTATCATTGTTTATTTTATTATCTTAGTCCGATCAAGATGTGGTGGTGGTAGGGAAGGGCAGCAACTGAACTCCCAAACCCTGCATTTCTGACCCCAGGAGGCTCTGCCTGTGTCAATCGGTGTCAGGCACAGCTGAGCCCAACCTTTCAGTCCCATACATATGGGCCAATGCAGAGTCATGCATGTTGAAAAGTCCATCTTCCAACAGGAAGAAGATGGAGAAAACAGGAGATGCTGACAGAATGGAAGATATCAGTAAAACTAAGACATTCTGTGAGTCAAGTATGGAAGCCTCAGTTGCTATGGAGTTGTGTTTCACTAGTCCGTAGGACTGTCAGCTGATGGGTTTGCGTTTTTTCCAATAACTGGAATTTATTAGGTTTGTCTTCAAAGCAGATTTTTAAGTTGGTATAATGTGCAACCATCCTGCAGCCTTACTCACTACTGAGCCACACAAACAGTTCTTCCTTGTCCCCTGCATACTTAAATAAAACTTGCTATGTTATTGCAAGATCTCCCCTCATTTAAACCTCATAGTTATTGATACTTCTGTGCCCAACGCTCTTAATTTCCTCTCCTTCTTTGATTCATTTGGCTTCTGTCTCATGTTGAAACTGTGAGGGACACTCAGGAGCAGTTGTTTCTTGCTTTTAGTCCTTACTGTCTGGCATGTTACTATACCAAGGGGTGTGGTCTTCTGCTGGCATCCCATGGGTAACTCAAAATTCAAACAGTTAATTTTCACCCCACTCGGAGGCAAGGATAGGGCTTAAAGAATTGAAAAAGCTAGTGAGTCCCAGAAATTGGCTGGTATCTAAGAGTTCAGGGAACCTACAAGAAAAGCAGGTAATTCAAACAATGGGAGTTGGTTAGTTTTAGCTTTAGTGAAGGAATTATGCATGGAACACTGAGTAAATTCAAAACCAGGGAATAAAAATACTAATAAAAGAGAAAATATAGGTGATGGTATTTACATCAACTTAATATGAAGAAAAATCTGCAAGCTTGGATACACAGCTTCAGTGCTTCAGTGCTGGCCGTGTTGTTGGAGATAGATCTTGAAAGAAAAGCCACTATCAACTCTCCAAGCAGCAGCTGGGGTTCTGCCGGCCCGAACCCTTCTGCGCGGACGTGCCCCAGGGCTGTGCCGGAGCCGGCAAACCGGGAGGCTCGAACCCCGCTCCGGCCGGGGCAGCTCAGCCTGCGGCCACCTCTGCGCCAGCCGCGGCCACCCGCCCGCAGCTTCCCGGGTGACACCTGGGTACATACGTACACGTATGTACATAGACACATATGTACATAGACACATATGCACATATACAGGGGGTTCCCAGCGCGCCCCTCGCTTGGGGCGGCCGCGAAGGAGAAGCCGCAGGAGGCACCGGCTCCCTGGACTGCGGGGAAGGAGCGCACCCCCACCTGCAGCTCAGAGGGCAGGAGGGAGAGGGAGGCGGAGCGGTTCCCATCCCGTCGCCTGTCGCCTTCGGGAAGCAGCCGCGGGTGGAGCGGGCGATGGGCGCGGGTGGGAGGGAGCGGCCGCCACCCCCGCCCGCCCCTCCGCCCGCGGGCTGGGGGCGATAGCGCCGTGCCCACCCCGTGGCCACCAGGGATGCGCCGTGGGCGAGCCCGGCCGCCCCGGGGGAAGTTGAAGGCTGGGCCCCCACGGACCGCTCGGTCGGCTGCGAGGGGGCGGGCGGCGCCGGGAGCCCGAGGAGGAGCCCGAGCATCCCGGCGCCGGAGACAGCCGGAGAACGGGCGGCGAGGCTTCATGGGCTGCTCACGCCAACATGGTGCTCGCCCTCAACGGCAGCCACCTCTACGGTAACCTCCGGCCCCTGGTGCTGGAGGAGCCGCGGGCTGGCGGCAGGATGATCGCCGGCTCCTGGCCCCCGCGCAGCCTGGCGAAGCTCGGCCCGTCGCCCCCCCCGTCGGCGCTGCCCACGGCGAGCCCCCTCCCCGCCAACGACTCCCAGTGCGGGGAGCAGATCCTCAGCTACGGCAGCGCGGAGAAAGTTCTCATCGGGGCCGTGCTCTGCCTCATCACCCTGCTGACCATCGCCGGCAACTGCCTGGTGGTGATCTCCGTCTGCTTCGTGAAGAAGCTGCGGCAGCCCTCCAACTATCTCATCGTCTCGCTGGCCCTGGCCGATCTCTCGGTGGCCCTAGCCGTCATGCCCTTCGTCAGCGTCACCGACCTTATCGGCGGCGAGTGGATCTTCGGCCGCCTCTTCTGCAACGTCTTCATCGCCATGGATGTCATGTGCTGCACGGCCTCCATCATGACCCTCTGTGTGATAAGTATCGACAGGTGAGCCAGCCCGGCGCCCCGAGGCTTGCCCTGGCCTCCCGCCGCTCCGGGGGACCGGCCCCGCGCCGCCGCCCGCAGCCCCGGGCTCGCAGGACGGGAGCGGCCCCGGCGCGGGGACCCGCCGAGAGCGGTGCCAGCAGCGCTCCTCCTCCGGGTCCCTTGGAAATGAGCCGTGCTCAGGGCAGGGAGCGAGGCGAGTGCCAGCCCGCAGCCTCTCTGTTCGAAGGAGCCCGCCGGAGCAGGGTGAGCTGCCGCCCCATGCCGGCCCAGGTGCCTGGTTATCCCTCCGGGTAACCTGGCTGTCACTCGGGGGCCAGGGTGTCAAAGCGAAACCGGACCTAAGCTGTCAGCGGTTACCGTGGCTCTATGCAAGTAATAGGGCATTTCCAGCTGCTTTAAAATTTGAAACATATGTCTTTAAACTGCTTTATACCGCGGGTAGATTTGAGCTGATCCTTTCAAAGCTGGTGACAATGCAACCTCCCTGGAGTGGAGTTTTACCTGACCAGAGAAGGTGCAGTAATTACAGCTTTCTTAGGTTCTATCTTTATTCTAGGACAATCCCAGAACAGCTCAATTTCATTTTTGACAAATAATGTTTTGTTTGAAGGTAAAATTACTTTCAAACGTCTGCTTTTTAAATCTTTTCACCTGCTGTCTTAAAAACCAAGTTGTACTCATTGACATTTAGCTTCTTCCAAAAGATACAGTCACTGGGGCAATAAGGAGGTGTGTACACACTGCAGAACAATATCTTAGGTGTTCAGTTCTGATGTAAAAACCACACTGAAGAGGTCACATTTGTCTGTGTCAGTCCTCTGCAGAGGAAGGCTGACAGATTCCTTTATTCCATGCAGGTTCTATTCTAAAGCAAATTGCAGCATATAGCTTCCCTTTTCCACAGCCTAAATTCTATGCCAAGAATTTTAACAGCTAGGAGGTAACTTTTCATTATAACCCCACACAATTGGCTGAAATTGAAAAGCTTCATAACTAGATTTTAGAAGTAGTTTACCAACTGATATCCAACAGCAGCCTTGACTATTTACTGCAGAAAGTTTTAAGAAAAGATCTGCATAGGCTTCTGCAAAGCAACAGTTTTTCAAAAGAGATTCTTAGAGTAAATGGAGGTAGTTTCATACCAGGGAGCATCACAGTTTGTATTAATTTCAGAACTTTAATTTCTTTACAAGCATCCTCTGCTCCAATACTCTTTATTTGGTGACTTCTATATTGGCCAGCAGTTATCTGAATGCTGCATGCATCTTGTAGCAATGAAATCCACAAACACGCTTTGATAGTATCAAATGGTTTGTGGTTTTGGTGGTTTGTGTTTATTTTTTTAAATTGCTGTTACATTGACATTTGCTTAATTTTTACTTACCTAGGTTAATTTTTAAACTTTATTCCTGTATTGCAAGAGAATATGAATAGGCTTCCAATTCCAAAGGTATTGGGAAATGCCTTCCCAATGTTATTCTCTGCTTTCTGTACTATTTTTAAGATAGATAATTTTTACACTCTCTCCCCGTAAAGTATTTCTATTCTTTGGTTGTTCTTATCTACATGTCTGAGCTCTCCATCTCCATTTCTACCAACCTTTTGAAAACAGGTTAACATAATTAAGCTTTCTTAAGGATATGTGATGATTCACACCGTAGCACTGGGCTTTTACTCTTTTCTATTTCTTAGTTTAACTTTTGAGGTCACTGCTGTGTGCTGAACAGGGGCTCTGACTGAACTGGTCACACTGATGACTGCATCTCTTGTTGTCTTCTCTCAGTCCCCTCTCCCCCTAAAATACTAACAAGAGATATATCTCTGTATTGAGAAAGAATATAACCTCTTGTAAATGACTGATTTTCACCAGCTAGTGATGATTTAAACTAGAATTACTCTCTTGTCTTTGTGTTCTCACTTCTTTCACTGAATGTTTATTGAACGCCATCTCTTCATAATTCATTATACTGTTGTCTACCAACTGCTTGAAATTAAAATTCTGTGACTTATGATGCTTAACCTCTGTCACCCACAGCCATTATGGAGTTGAGATTGTAGAGATATCATAAATAGTTGAGATATCATAAATAAAAGGAGACAAGCCAGCAATTCATTAACAAAATATCTCTACTACTTGGCAATAAAGAATTAAAAAATCTCCATGATTTGTAATCCTATTTAAGAATAATTAATCATATTTAACACTGATAAGCCAGGCCAAAGATTAGTTTTGGATATTAAGAAATCTTTGAATAGCACATATGTACAAAATATGCAAACCAGGGAGGCATTATGAGAATCAAGTGTGAATGATGAAATGTTGCCAGTATAGCATTGATGGTAATGGTGCTGTCATATCAGCAGCTGTTTTTACATGTACGTAGTTAGGAAATCCTTGAACGATCACTGAGGAAAATTTCTCTCTGAAAACACATTCCTGCAGTGTAAGTATTGTTTGTGGTACAGGAACTGCAAATCACAGTGCATTAGAGGGTCAGACTGCTTCACAAGGTCCATTTTTCCAAGATTTTGGTGAAAGCACTTCCACATTTTCTGTTATGTAGGAGGAGAAGATTACCAATGATACCTCCCTTACTAGTCTTACTATCTCAGGGTAAATAATACACATACAGGACCAGGAAATTTCAATTGGAAGTTCCAGAAGCAGAGACAGTGAATGAAATTGACTGTTCTTCAAGTTGGCCACTATCCCCAGAGGCATTTAGATGTACTTAAATCTTGAAGATCCTGAGGTTACATGGGAGACATTTGTTTAGAAGAAGGGTTAAGACAGGACTTAGAAACATTTTTGAAATATAATTAGGAATTGCATTGTCACATGGCTCTTTAGGGCACTTTAGGAAACCTTTGTTCTGATCCGGTAACATCTCTCCTGAAGTAAAAGATGAGGGTGATGCAGGCAGTGTAGAGAGAACAAATAAATTGACTATTTTAAAATTTGTTAAATCTGTAGGTTCTTCCTGAAGCAGGTATGAAAATTAGGTAAATACTTGAAAGAATATTACTACTGAATTAATCTTAAAGGACCAGATTTGTTACAAACTCTTAGGCGGTGTTTGTAAAGAGAAATAATACCTTCTATCAAACGAACAATTAAGTTAGTAAAACAGAGGCTTTGAGGAGCTAGCAAGAAGGATAAAATGGATAAATTGAAAAGGCTTTTTGATTTGTTTCCCTTGCACAAATGTGTGCTACTCAGCTTATGCCACTGAGAGCCCTGAAATGCCAGCAGCTGGTGAGTCTATTGCTCACGGAGAGATTTTGCTGCACAGCCCTCGGTGGTGGATGTGTTTTTCAGCTAAATGTATCAGCTTCTGAAAGAAGCAGATTAACATGGGGTATACAAATGGGCTGGTTTCATTCTGTTGGAAAACCTTGTATTTTTTTTTCTATTTAGACACACAAAGCGCCTCTTATACTTTTTAAGTTGTTTCTATTCTAAGTTCTATAAATGGTAAGGTAAATATTAGTGTGCTATTATGGGGATAACTAAATTGGCACAGGGTGCACAAGGAAGCAGCTAGGTTGGAAAGGTTTAATTATCCACAAAGATCTAAATTTGCAGATATCATGAGACAATGCCCTTGAAGTTACCAAGATTTGGACTGTTATGCTTTTCTTCACATCATATCTTCCCTTTTGTTTCACAACATAAAAACCTTCACAGATCTTTATCAGAGTGACCTGAGATGAACATATTTTTCAGTCATGTCTATCTTGTTTAAGCCCCACTTTGGAAGAAGGCTATCTGCTTACAGGCAGCTCTGTCAGAACTAAAACAGGTATGATGGTGAGACACGAGCATTTCTGCCTTTTCAAATTTTGTAAGGATTAAACAGGCAAGACAACTTGACACTCAGTCAGTGCTATTCTCTCCATCCACGATATGAGAATCAACTCTATAGAAAGGTAGGAGCTACAGAGACTTTCATAGTCAACTGTGGTCTTCTTTAAGAATTTCTTATTAGTGTGTTTGGATTTTTTTTTCTTTTGCTCTTAAGGCTCCACGGTTCTGGGTCTGGATCAAATAGATTATATCACACCACAATTCCTTTACATTCTTTACATTTAAGAGTGAGAAAACTTTATGAGTGAATTATGAGGGATGGATACAAACCACATCTTAGTGGAGAATGAACAAATAAAGGGAATTAATTGTATTTGAACTGGTGGTGTTTTCATGCTGATTCATCATGCTGTTCTGACCCAAGATAGCTACAGAAATGTTGTTTTGGAGAGTATCCACAGGATAACTGCATAAGTAGCAATGTTTAATTCAATTCAAAAATAGTACTTTGGCTTAGAAAGTGATAAAGAACCATAACTATTCAGATACAGTTGAAGAATTATAACACTTTCCCCACACCCACACAAGTAATGAAACACTTTTTTAGGAACTTTTCCAGTCTGTATCTTGGCCAACAATTCACGAGTATTCCAGGCTTCCATTAAATTGATGAGGATTTAGAATTTCTATGCAAATAAGTGGGCCTTTTTGTTGATCCTGAGATTTTTATATACAAGCATCAGCTCTCTCTCTCCCTGCCTGTGTTGCCACGATCCAAGTATGAGTATTTGTGCTTCTCCTTAGAATGTGTCAGCCCCAAAAGTTCACTGGCTTCTTGAGTCCTCATTCCATATCTAGGGATTGTGCAGACCTCAAATTTCCTCAAAGGAAGAATTTGGAGCAAAATTTAAATTTAAGCACTTTCAATAGAATCCAGTTGTCTAAATTCTACCTACATCCCAAGCTGATATCATGACCTGAAAACTGTCAGCAATCTGCTAAACCTAATAGCAATCCTGTGGAGCTTCCTATTTGGTATGAAGACTTTTTCTGCCTCAGTGCCATGGGTAGAAAAGGCAGCAGTCTGTTCTGCCAACCCTGTTCAGATCATTCACAAAATCCATGTAGAATATACATGCAGAAATAACTATGAAGAAATCATCAATGTAATATATTTTGGATCTATAATAAG